TTCTGAGCTTGATGGCCGCTTGTTTACCTTCAAGCCTTTAAGACCCCAGACACTATACTTTTTGATAGCCGGGCACCATCAGCTTTCTTCGTAAATATGTTTACATATGTACTTGCCCCATTTAGACCTCTATAAATGCCCTTAGCCTCCTAGCTCTTTCCTCTATTTCTTTTGATGTTCCACTTGTCCCACCATCATGCTCAGCCTTCACTTGGGTTCCAGTAATTCCTCTCAGTTACAGAGGCCTCCTACACCCTCCTCACCACCGATTTGCATCACTTGTTGTTCCCTTGTCCCTGGGTTTATTAACACCACTTCCTTTCTCTCCCTCTCCCATGTCCCCCCAGAACCATTGGTCCCATTGTTTCCTCCTCCAGATTGTTCATGCAGCCTATCAGACTTGCGGAGATAAAAACATGCACAAAAATAAGACAGAGCAAAAGCAATAAACAAAAGAAAACAACAAAAAGCCAATGACAAAAACAAAACAAAAAACCACAACAACAACAACAAAAAAGAAAAGCTTGTAGTTAGTTCAATGACTGTTTGTTGGCCTTTAGGAGTGTTTTCCGGTCGAGTCTGATGGGGTGCCAAGCCCTGTCCCCAAAGTCCATTTTTGGTATATCCTGGTGACTTTGTTACTCTGTTCCCTTGCTGTTCTGTTGCACACCCTTCGTGTTTTGCCTAGGTGTGGTGGGATCAGATTGGGCACAATTCCCACACACTGTGTTTCCAGTGTTGTCCCCTGTAGGGCTATGGGTCAGTGAGGGATGTTGTGTCTCATAGTGGGGCCGGTCTTATGGTCCTCTCTGTACATTGGCTGCTCTGAGCAGGAATATCGTCGTCAAGGCTTGGTGGGCCAGGATGTGCTCCATTCTATCTTCCTCCCCGTCCATTTGCTCCTGTGTGCTCTGATCAGACATGTCCCTCTCCCTGAGCTGCAGCTTCAGTTCTGTCCTCTGAAATGAATTACTCTGGGGGCAGGGGCAGCTGTCCACGTAGTTGGGAATGGGGCCAGCCCCTCAGACCTCTCCACTGGTTCCCTACTCCATGTCGACATGTTGCACTCACATCTTGGAGCACTGGGTTGAAGTCTGGTCCCTCTTTCCCTGTGGAGATAAAAACAATCCCTCCCCTTGGGTGGGTTAGTGCCCCGTGACCCTGATATATTCAGGTCTTTTTATACTTTCTGTTTCGTTCCATTGATCTGTTGGTCAAATTAAAAGCCAATGTTTTGCTGCTGCTGCCCTTTTCTAAGGTCACGTGTTCTATACTGCCTGATCACTCTAGTCCCCCTTTCCCACTCTTCATTTTCTTGACCATCTTTCTAGAAGAACTTAAATAGGTTTGGATAGCCTCCTCTTCCCAAATCCTTTGTGCTCTATTTTGGGAATATGAGGAAGCTTTGAAAAGTTAGTGGAAAAATGTAATTATAAGATAATGAAATGCTCCATAAACTTTTTGAAGATGCCCCATACATTATATTCAATTTTAACTGTTCAGGTCTTTATTATCTCTCCACATTTTCATTTTTTTCCACACAAATCTATTGGCTTTTGTGTGTTTGTGTGTAATTCAGACTTTCTGAGAGTATAACTGGAAAAAATTTCTTTTTCTAGGAAATTACACATTTTGAGAACACTTGCAAATGTGTACTTGGGAGCAACTCTCATTTAGAAGTGAGCAATAATAAGCATTTTGTCACATTAAAACCAGTTACCAACAAGTCAACTCCAATCCTGACAACTTTGTTTATGTCAGAGGACAACTTCTCTCTAAGGGTTTTTGTACGTTGACTTCTAGGCTCTTCTTCAGAGGTACCTCTGGGTGGTCTTGAACCGCCCATGTTTCAGTTAGCAGCTGAGCACATCCACCTTTGTATGACAGTGTGCTCCTTTATATGTTAAGTTTTGCCTCTTGATCCTGGTGGGACTTGGTCTCCGAGAGAAAAGCAGAGCACTTATTGAGACTTTCTTCAGAGCCTCAGCTTATATGGACTGCTCTAGCTCGAGAGATCAGTAAAATACCAGTGTGAGATCAAGAGGGGAAAAAACAGGAAAGTTTATTTTGTGCTTATATAGCACTGGTGTGTGCGTACCTAGAATGCCTTGTGGATTTTTGTCATGACTGATTTAGAGCTAAGGAAGCCATCATGAAGTTAGGACTAGTTTAGAGAGGGACAACTGAAATGATTACTGGGAAATTACATATTTGAGGATAGATGAGAATCTGGCTTTTGGAACTGTTTTGTTTTTTCATATATGAGGTCTGAGGGCCTTTCGGAAGAGAAGGCTTAAGCTATGAGCACGTCATAAACTTATGAAAGGCATGCACTCCGTGTCCCACAGCTCTCAGCTTTGCAGCTGGGTTCAATAGTTCCTTGCTATGCTCACACGGAACTAACTCAGACAATGCTACTGATTATGGAGTTTATTATGGAAGTTAACAAGTTACAATTCAGGTGAGAAATGCTCAGAATTGGTTAGTCAGGACAGCCTCATCACAGGCAGGCCTCTGTCTTTAGCCTCCAGCCCAGCCTTTGCCCTGTTTGACCAGTGTTACAAAGCTCTTTTAGGGCTGCAAATAAATAATACATGTCCATAGGTCATGCCAGTCTGCTGTAAGGCACTTAGCATCCAGCAAGCCCAGCTCCCCTAATTTAGTGCCCAGAGGTACCCATTCCACATGCCAGCCTGCTGCCCTAGCTCACTCAGTGTTACTTATTCTGTGGGCTGGGAAGACCACTGTTCTGTCTCATGTTCTGGCTTCTGGCTCTGCTGCTATATCCCTGGCTGCCTCTTGGATCAAGGAGGTCCAGTGCACAAGGATCTCAGGGTACTCAAGGACACATTTCCCTCCTGGCTCTACTCTCTTGCTGGTCATGAGATGGTTCATTTTATACCCAGCAGGATGGCAGTCACCACCCTGTGAACAATCTCTCTCAGCTGAATCATATAATTCTGCAACTTCGTACCCAAACCCATCCGGAAAGTGAAGGTTATTTGGCAGAGTAACAAGGGCTATAACTAGAAGAGTCCTATTAAATAATTCACACTGCAGCATGGATAGATGACCACAAGCTTAAGAATTCTATAACAAATCAACTCTAGAATATGAAAAATAGATTTAAGGTAAAATCAGATATTGAAGTACCTGTCAGCTTTTTACTCTAAAAAACAACACAACTTTTAAAACGTGTAAGGAGATATGGCGATAAAGGGATGTAGCTAGTTGGTGGCTTGTCTACACCTTGGCCAGGATTCGTATGAACATTACCAAGCCCTTGCATAGACTGCCTGTCATTGCCATTATCAGAAACACTGGGCTGAGGATCTGTTGTCCTCTCTCACACAGTACCCCAGAGAGTCTCTTCTTGCTAAATGGCTTCGTTTCTCCTCCTTTCACTCTCCCTTGCCTTTTTGGACCTGGTACTCCCAGCACTGCTTGGACTAGAAGTGTTTTGTTTTCTATTGGTTCACATTTCATAGCAGTTGTTTCTCGTATTGTATTTTGTGTGTAGCTCATTCCACACTGCTGTGATCTGCCCTTCAGTTACTGGATGGTTTCACAGAATAGATCTGGCTTCTGCCTGGATCTTTTTCTTCTGTCCTCAAAAAAGGACAAGAGCCTTTTAGTAAATCATACACCAGATTCTTTGTTACTTTAGTATAAGTATGCTTTAATTTAAAATTCTAAAAGCCTTTTTTAAAAAAAGGGGGAGGTTTAAAAAAATCATTTTATAGGGGGCTCTTACAGCTCTTATCACCATCCATCCATCCATCCATCCATCCATCCATGTGTCAAGCACATTTGTACACATGTTGCCATCATCATTTTCAAAACATTTTTCTACTTGAGACCTTAGTTTCAGCTCATTCCTCTCCTGCCCACCCTCCCGCTCTCATGATCGCTTGATAATTGATCTTTTTTTTTTTTTTCATGTCTTACACTGACCACTGTCTCCTTTCACTCTCTTCCCTGTTGTCCATCCCCCTGGGGGGGCGGGGTTATATGTCGATCATTGTGATCAGTTTTCCCTTTCTCTCCCCCACCTTCTCCTTACCCTCCTGGTATTGCTACTCTCATTATTGATCCTGAGGGATTTATCTGTCCTGGATTCTCTGTGTTGGGAGCTCTTGTCTGTACAGTGGGCATGCCCTGGTCTAGCTGGATTTGTACAGTAGAACTGGGGTCATGACAGTGGGGGGGAGAAGCATTAAAGAACTAGAAGAAAGTTGTATGTTTCATTGGTGCTATACTGCACCCCAACTGGCTTGTCTTTTCCTATGACCCTTCTGTAAGGGGATGTCCAATTGTCTACAGATGGCCTTTGGGTCTCCACTCGCCTTCCCCTTTTCACATCTATAGATTTTTTTGTTTTGGGTCTTTGATGCCTGATACCTGAGCCCTTCAATACTTTGTGATCACTTCTTCCATTTGGGCTTTGTTGTTTTTCAGCTAGATGGCTGCTTGTTTACCTTAAGCCTTTAAGACCCCAGATGCTAAATTTTTTGGTAGCCAGGCACCATCAGCTTTCTTCATCACATTTGCTTATGCACCTGCTTTGTCTTACAGCAATTGTGTCAGGGAAGGTGAGCATCCCAGTATGCCGGGTTATTAGAACAAAGTGTTCTTGTGTTGAGGGGAGTACTTGAGTGGAGACCCTAATTGGGAGCTCTTAACAGATGTCATAACATTTCATAGTTCAATCACATCAAGCAGTATTGTACTGTTGCTGCCACAATCAGTTTCAAAACTCTTTCTTCTTGCATTCCTTGATATCAGTTCCCCTTTATCTCCTCCCCAACTCCCCAGGAATCCTTACTTATTTTTGCCCATATCTTACTCCATCCACTATCTCTTTTCACATACAATTCTGTTGTTCATTCCTCTTGAATGGGGTTAGACAGTCATCCATGCTCTCAGCTGCCTCTTCCCCCCCAATGTCCTCAGGGCTATAATTCTGATGTTTGGATGCCTGCTGTGGCTGGCCGATTGATCACCTTGCTGCCCTCAGCAGGTGAGGATGCCCTCGGTAACTAACTCAACCCTGTATCTGCTGCCAGGAGAAGACAAGAGCTCTGCCCTGGATCTCTAGCCTGCTCCAGAACTCCAGCCTGCTCCGGATCTCCACCTAGCAGCCACATTCTCTCGATTTTCAGTTCCGCACTGTCTGCCATCTTACGTCCATCAATGCAAGTGCGCTGGACCTTGCCTCCATGCTTTCTTATTTTGGTAGAAAACTGACCCTGTTTGTGATAGAGCGCCCAGGTCAAGAGATCACCCAGGCACCTGGCCTGCGTTCTAAAAGCCTTTTTCATGATTATATTTTTACAACTTTTATAGTATTCAGGTTGACTGATACAGGTTTCTTCAAGTGATTCAGAAAAAGAAGCCTGGTAATCTGAAATTGCCAGAGTGCTTCCACTTGAAAGCGCCTGAGCCTATTGGACCAACAATTATCAAAAATTAATGAAAATAATAGTTCCATCAAAATGAAATATTAGCATTTTCTATAAAATCCATGTAGTATATATTAATGCAATATATGGAAGTTTTATTTACTTTCCACTATGGTTTTAGCAAGAAAGGCTACGTTTTTGTTTTTGTTTTAAATGTATGACTTTAATTAAACTTCACAACAACTTGATGAGGTAGAAATGAGTATTGTCCCCATTTTAAGGACAAGTATAGAAACTTAAAGCCTTTCGGGGTTTCTTTTTTTTTTTCTTAAATAATTTTATTGGGGGCTCGTACAATTCTTATCACAATGAAAGGCTACTTTTAAGGAAAATCATGTTTTATTTTCTTTTGCAGCCATGTCTGGTGAGAACAGGGAAAATACACTGTTTTATTCTGAAATTCCCAAAACTATCAACAGGGCAGCTGTCTTCATGCTCTCGTGGAAGCCTCTTTTGGATCTCTTTCAGGTGAGAGTAAGTATTGTCCCTGTGATTGGGAGGCAGAAATGCACTTGATGTTTTCTTTAGGAACTAATCAAAAGGAACTAAACGTTTAAAAATTTTGCATAGGTGAGCTTCTCAGTGTCTGACTCTAAGGAATATTGTACCATAGTTCAATTTTATTTTAACTGTGTTTTCTCAGTGCCTCTTATTCCCCCTAAAAGTTTCTAGTGATACGCTATTGACTGTTAACAAAGAAACACTGCCAGTCTGGCACCAGGTTCACAATGGCTATGTTTGAGCCCATTGTTGCAGCAAACGTTGAGGGGCTTCCTCTTTTTTGGTTACCCTCTACATTGCCAGGCATGATACCCTCCTCTGGGACTGGTACCTCCTGAGAGCATATTCAAAGGTCATGAGATGACGTCTCACCAGCCTCACTTCTAAGGCTCATGCTGACTATACTTTCCCCAGAGAGATGTGTGTGTTCTTCTGGCCGTCCGCGGTCTGTTCAGTATCTTCCACCAATACCGAAGCATCAATTCTTTGGTGGTTTTCCTGACTCGCTGGCCAGAGTTTCCGTTCTTCTGCGGCAGTGGCAAAGACTGTGGTTTGGGTCAGGGTGCTTACGTCTTCACAATGATACCTTTGCTGTCCGTTTATATAGTCCTCATAAATTTTATAGAAAGTGCTCACTTAAAATAATATCTTTAGGTTACATTTGTAGTTCTTATCTTTAGTAACAGCATAGATTTTAATAAAGGTCCTAAGTTCAATTTTTGCTTTTAAATAGAGTAATTCAATTTATGGGAAACTAAACCCTCAGATTTTTCTCAGTACTATTTCTTTAAACAAAAAAGTAATTATAAATATCTCAATGATAAACTGATAATCTAGGTGCAATTTTTTGCCTTTAAGGTTGTCGTTTATTATTTTTACATTGAACATTTCTTTGTTGAATAACATGTTTTAGCTAAACTGTATGATTTCTCATAAGTATTAAAAATAATATCCACGGTCACTAATCCTTTTAACTATAATTGTTGTTTATTATGCATTTTATTCATTTACATAAACTTTTGAGACAAAGTTCTGTCTTTCCCCCCAGGACTTTACTATAGAAAATTTCAAACCACACAAAAGTAGAAAGAACAAAGTGTGAGCTAGTTTCAACAACCTATACCACCTGACTTCTTTGTGGTCCCACTAACTCCACTCACAATCCCGCTCCCATAGCCAGAATTGTTTTAAAGCTGACCCAGATATGCTACTTGTTTTTTATCATTTCCAGTATCATTGTCAAACATTTAAAAAATTATTTCTAATTTAATATCTAGTCTTCAATTAGTGATCATTGTATTCAAATTTCCTTAGTATCTTAATAAATAGATTTTCTCTCTTTTTATTCACTTTTTTGTCTGAATCTGTATAAATGGTGTTATTTTTGACCAGTTTGAGCCCCTTTAATTTGTTGAATCCTTTGACATGGCATTTGATAGTTTCAGTTTTTTATATGATGATGCTCCATGTTCATTTTTTACATCGCCTTCTCTGTTCTCTGAATCAGTCACTTCTCCAAGGAGCCCTGGTTTCTTTACTTTAGTCTAGAGAGAGGTATTAAGAGACCATGATCTGGGTGTTAGGGATGCTTATTATTATTGGGTTGGTAATTGTGTCTAGGTCTTTTCAGGGAACAAACTAGGAAATAAAGTATGTATTGAGATCCCTGGGTTGTACAAGTAGTCTACCATCAAGGGCCAACCTACAAGTTGACGGTTCTGGTCCACCCATCAGCCCTGTAGGCAATAGGACTGTCAATCTGTTTTCATGACGGTTACAAGCCAGAAGCCCTGTGGGGACCCTTGTGGAACAGTTCTTCTCTGTCACCACCCTGAATCCAAGTTGAGAGCAATGAGTTGGTTTGAGGATATATTTTTTTTATTAAAGTTTCATCTTTTTAGAATGATGAGGGCAGTGAATGTACAAATGCGCTTTACACAATTGATGTGTGTATGGATTGTCATAAGAGTTGTATGAGCCCCTAATTTTTTAAAAATCATTTTATTAGGGGCTCCCTCCCTCCCCGCTTCCCCCTCCCTCGTGAGCCCTTGATAATTTATAGATAGTTATTTTGTCATATCTTGCCCCGTCCGATGTCTCCC